AATTTTTTTTGTTTGTTTTTAATTCTTAATTTTTAAAATTACATTGAAGTCCCTGAAGCTCACATCATTTACCCATGGTAACAGCCACTCCATTGGCTTTGTTAGAGTTACCGTGTTTTGCTTACTGTTTCAATTCAACTTTAAAGTTTCAAATTGCATGAACTAAGCAATTCTTATCATATTATCCATCGTCTCCTAATGGGAATTTGTAATTCCTTATCTTGGTTGGCACATTTTCAAAGTAGCCATCCTTTTCACGTGTTGGCGATTACTTTCTGCAGGTATTATCTATCTCTTTTACAATGTCTTCATTTGGTTTTAGCAGATCGCAAATGCTCCCTTTCTGACCATGTAAGTAAGAAATAAGACTATACTCTTAAGACCTAAATTGAACTCATTTAAAATGCTTGCTGGCTGGAATATTTTTTTTTACTCAATTTCTTTTTTTCAGGTGTCAGCTTTTGTAGCAGCACTGCGTATGTTCTTTGCCTATGGTTTTCCGAATAGACCCCTACTTACTAGTTCAGTTGGTAATCAAGGGAAAGAACCTAGCTTGACTAGTACCCAGTCCAGTTTAGAAGAACCAAAAAAGACAAATAATAGTGCATATAGGCCCCCTCACATGCGTAGAAGAGATAATTCAAATACGAAGCAGGCCAGTGTTCAAAATTCTCAAAGTTCAATGGCTGTAGAGTCTCTTAACTATGATTTCATATCTTCAGATTCCGATCATGACAGTGATGGGCAAGTAAGAGATACCGACATCATTCCGAATGGCAAGGTTCGGGTTGCTGCTATTATTTGTATACAGGTAATTCGGGGATAGGGGGCTATTTGATTTAGTTCTTTGTTGTTCTCACTTATCCATGGAAAGTAAATTGCTACAATGATCTATGTCCATAACTTTCCTTCCTCCAGCTAATAATAGGTTATTTTCCATGATTAGCAATCCCTCCTGCAATGGGTTTGAAAAGTATGTACTTGGTACATGTATGGTTATATGAATAAAATATTTCCCCAACTTGGATTGGAGGAAGTTTTCCTAACCTCCTCATAGGCAGGGCCGCAGGGGGATCTCTCTATAGGCTGGATTCCTTTTTCTCTTGGTAATATATCGTTTGTCTCTCAAATTCAAAGATTTTGTTAACTCTAGAACCTGGTACACGTACATTTGTCAACGATGGTAAATTTTCAACTTCTTGGTTGGATTAGTGGATTGGTAATGGACCTTTACTCTATGTTTTCCCTAGGCTTTATACTCTGTCCATGCAGGAACACGCGACCATTGAAGACTCACGGGACCTAACTAATTTTCCATGCGATTTCTCAAGTTTAGGAGGGTATTCTGGATCATGAAGTATTGGAATGGGCCTCTTCTTGTCTTATCCCCATGATGGCCCTCTATAGGACCCAGGACAGGTGTAGATGGATTCTTGATCCAACAGGATGTTACTTGGTGTGGTTTCGTTTCATGGAGTGTTGAGACAATATGAATGTTGAGACGATATGAGCATGCTATCTCCCATCTTCACAAAAAGCCGTGGAGTGGTAAATATCCAAGAAAGGTAAAATTCATCTTGTGGGAGCTTAGCTATTGACGTGCAAGTACCAATGAGGTTGTGCAAAGACAATGCACACCATGACCCTCTCCCTCTCTCATTTTCTACAAAAGCAGCTCAGAAAGTATTGCTTCCTTTGTTGTCCCTTGTCTTACAGCGTCTGGAAGCTCTTCTTTTGTCCTTTAACAGGAATTATCCCCACCAAGGAATGTCAAGGACTTTTTGGAGGTTTTCTTGCTTGGACATCCTTCAAAAAGGAGAATAAAACTGTATAGCTGCAGTTTATTTATTTATTTTTTTTGAGCAACAAACCTTTCATTGATGGATGAAAATGAAGAAAAATGTTCATGGACACGAACTCTGAAAAGGAGCGAAAAAATACTAAACAGCTAAATAAAGAACAAATCTCTAAAATTACAAGAGGTTAAGACATTATGAAAGTTACAGACAATACGTCAAGGAACTCCTCAGAGGAGAATGGACAACAACCTCAACAAAATTCCCAAAAAGATATATTAAAAGCCACAAATTAATACCAACTAGAGATTAATAAAAGAACCAACATTTATCCGCTTTGGAAACATCTAAAACAAAAACTTCTCGGGAGCTATTGCAATAAATTATCACGAGAGACTGACCTTCAAGTAAGCAACTATTTTTTTCCTAACAAGAAACAACTTATCCTTGATATATGAAAAGGAAAATATTCAAAATACAAACCCCTAAAGGGGCGAAAGAAAAAGAGAAAATAAAACGAACAAAATGCTAGCTCAACTAGTAGCAATTCAAACATAATGAAAAGATAAAGATAATAAAACCCAAGAGCCACCTTTGAAGAATTCAAAGGACAACAACTACGAAGCTTGGAACACTTAAAGCTTCATACAAAAACTCACAAAATTCCACACTCCTCACGCTTGCATCATAACTTAGAGTAAAAATCAGAGGGTAATTCCACAAAAAACCTTTCGGTTTACAAAGGGAACTAACAGAAAATACCCCAGCAGCATCTAGGTTCCATGAAATTTGGTCTTCATCAGCACGTAAAGAAATAGAGTTCAAAATTGTTAACAAATCAACATATTCAGCTATTTCATCAACTTTAAGTAGTCTTCTAAACTCTAACCTCGAAGAAGATGAGGAAACATCCCATACATCATGCAGCGAGATGAGAGAGTTTGAAGACACCCGAAATAAGGAAGGAAACCTAACCTTTAAGGGTGAATTATCGATCCATAGATGATGCTGAAATGAGATACGTCTCCCCTTCTTAACCTTGAAAGATGAGAAATGCTTCACTTCCATTGCTTTTGAATATTGAACCATGTACTGCGACACGCTCCACTATTTAATTCTAAAGTGTGCCACCTAAAGCCATCAGTTTCATAAATACTTGCAATTAATGAACGCCACGGAGCATTGGTTTCCATACTAAACCTCCATCCCCACCACTTTGCAAGAAGAGCTTGGTTTCTATTTAAAAGGAAACCAAGACCCAAGCTACCATCTTCTTTATGACGTGAAGAATGATCCCAACGAACTAGGTGCTTCAAAGATCCGCGGGAACTATCTCCCCAAAATAAGGTTCTCATACTCTTCTCAATTTGCTTACTTATATGCATAGACATTTTAAAAAGTGAGAGGTAATATAGAGGGATGCTCCCTAACACAGAATGACATAAGTCAGTCTTTCTCCTCTAGACAAATGATATGTCTTCAATTGATCAAGCTTTTTAGAAATTTTTTCTTTGATAGGGCGCCAAAAGACATCAAGCTTTGGATTCTCACCCAAAGGTAGCCCCAAATACATAATAGGCAAGATTCAAACTTACAATTCCATTTTTGAGCTGTTAATTTAACCTTTCGAGGGTCGATATTGATACCACTAAGTGAAGATTTGTCCCAATTCACCTTTAAACCAGACAGCTACTCAAAAGCCTTAATTGTTACAGAAAGGCTTTCCAACATTATTTCATCATCATCTTTACAATACAACAATTTATCATCGGCAAATTGTAGATGAGAGATGTGAACACGATTACTTCCAACAAAAAAGCCTTCAAAGATGCCCTTTTCATGAATATCGTCCAATAAGCTGCTTAGCACATCACTAATAAGAAGGAAAAGGAAAGGTGAAAGGGGATCACCTTGCCTTAGACCTCTTGAAGCTTGTATTCTCCCTCTTGGACGATCATTAATGAAGACTGAGAATTTTGTTCCTCTAATACAACCATCAATCTGGCTAATCCATCTCTTCTGAACCCTTTCTGTTGAAGGATAGCTACAAGGAGATCCCAGTCCACCCTATTGAAGGCTTTTTACAAGTCAATCTTTAACAGACAACCCCTTTTCTTCTTAGTTTTGTAGAGGTTCACAATTTCATTTGCTATTAACACGGGGTCTAACATTTGCCTTCCTTCAATAAAGAGTAATTACAACCTCACTCCTCATTGGTGTGTTCCCCGTCATCAACATGGTGAATCTCAGGGACACATTTTCGTTACTTCCAGATTTTCATCCTCTCTATGGGACACTCTCCTATCATCTTTTGGTTGGTCAATAGCGCTACCTTCGGACCTTCACACCCTATTATCAACCACATTCACAGGGCACCCTTTCTCAAAGGAGGCAAAAATCCTATGGACACATTTTGTTTGGGCGTTGCTTTGGTTGATATGGTTGGAAAGAAATCACAGGCTCTTTCAAGGAATAGAACAGAACAGCAAATGCATTTTTGATTCTATAGTATCTTAGGTTGTATCTTGGTGCAAATGCTCTCTTATCTTTACTCACTATGGTTTTGTCTCTTTATTAACGAATTGGAAAGCCTTTTTGTAACTCCATTGGTTTGGGATACCTTTCCCATTTTGTACATCTCTATATTTCATTACATTAATGAAATTGTATCTTTTCCCAAAAAAAAAAAAACCTCTCTATGATTATTAGAAATTGGGAGACTTTTTGTGTTAGTTTTTCTTTTTGGGAAGAGGTTCTCTCTGGCCCTTGTCTTTAGGTTGTTCTCTTTTTGTTCAGTAGTTTTTCTTTTTGGGAAGAGGTTCTCTCTGGCCCTTGTCTTTAGGTTGTTCTCTTTTTGTTCAGCTCTAATACTTTCTGAAAGTTTCTTATAAAAAAAATGATGCCAATGATGCCATTAAAGTCTGTCCTCCAAAGAATTCAAACCTTTTGACTATAAAATTTCTAGATGATAACAATTATATATATTTGTTGATGTATGAAGTTACAAAAAGGAAAGGGGGAGAGAGCCCCACAAACCAATGGAAATAAGTGAAACTTCTCGAACTGGTCAAAAGAGAATAAAAAGTATGAGTGAAAGAGAAATGATAATTTACACTAAGAAATAGCATGAAAAACAATATTGTCAAAGAGTCTATAGAAGGAAAGCTCTTTTTCAACGACAAAGAAAAACCTTTGGCTCCTTTCCTTTTATGTTGTCCAAAATGACGCTGTAATAACATCTTCCATAGGAGCTCTTTTTCTTTTAAAAAGGTGATCTGAGTGCAAATATGTGAAGATACCATTTGATTTGAGGGTTCACTTTCCAACTGAATGATGATAGAATCATGTCCCAAAATATTGAGATAAATGAGCAAGTACGGAAGATGTGTGATTGGTGATTCCACATCTTTTTTGCAAAGAAGACACCATTGAGGAGAAACAAATATGTGAGGTAAACCACGCTGTAGCCTATATGGGTGCTTATAGAATTGTCTGCGAGCTCTCAAATGAAGAATTTGATATTTTTTGGGTAGATGTTTCCCCAATTAGATTTGGCAAGTATAGGTTGGAAATAATTCTCTTCTGGGGCCAAATTAAGGAGGATAGATTTGGTTGAGAAGGCCCCTTTGCTGTCAAGTTTTCAAACCCAAAAATCCTCCGATCGGTTGAGGTGAATGTGCGCAAGGAGGTTGGTAAGTTAGGCCCAACCTTCAGTTTCAACATCTTTAAGGTGTGTATGGAAACCAAAGTCCCAAATGCCAAGTTCGTTCTTCCAAATATCCCTCACAGATGCTTGTTTGTATTGAGAGATTGAATGTGGATGAGGGAATTGGGAGGCTAAGGGTGATTCAAGCTGCCACCTGTCAAGCCAAAAGGAAGTATTTGCTCCATTTCTAGATTTACTGGCGACCGACCATACAATTTCCAATGCAATTAAAATTTAGTTGCTAGATAATTCTATCGGCATTTTATTCATGTTGACCATACTTGGAATTATCCTTTTTTTTTTCTTGGAGAAAAATTTCAAGATTTTATGTTGTCGTAATTTTGGTTGATAGGATCTTTGCCAAGCTGACCCCAAAGCATTCACCAGCCAATGGACGCTTCTTTTGCCAACTCGGGATGTGCTGCTTTCAAGGTAGGTTGCCATTATAATATTGATGCTGAAGTTTTTTGTTCTATCTTCTCTGTCCACTCCTTGTGGTCTACTTATATGCAATACTTATTTCTTGTAGGAAATTTGACGCAACTTTAATGACATGTCTGCTATTTGATCCTTTTTTGAAGGTTTATATTATTTTTCCTGTAATTGTTTAATAAACCCAGTTTATTCAATTCCTGGTTTGAAAATAGGCTGAAAGTGTGGTTCCTTTTTTTATTTTTTTATGTATCTATTTTTGCCATTTTATGCTATTCATTCAGTGGTGCTAGGTGCTTCTATCTATTACATTCTGCTTTGGCTTTCCCAGGCACAGACTGCATCTGCTGCAGCCCTGGTTGTTCTGTTGGATAGGACTGCTTCCATTTCCTTGCAGATTGCAGAATACAAAGATCCAACTAAATGTGGATCCTTTATGCCACTTTCGATTTCCCTTGGGCAGATACTGATGCAACTTCACATAGGTACTCAGTAAGTGTATTGCAAAGTTTATGATTGTTTGGTTCTCCGTTCTTTTTCTTTTTCACTGTATTTAAGTTTGCTGCTTGATTGCATCTTAACCTTTATACTTCCCAAGTCAATTGCGAGATGGATGAGAGATTGAACTATCGACTTTTGAGATGGTATTAAAGTGCTTTATCCACTTGAGCTATGCTCGGATTAACAATTTTTAAGCTTTATACTTTTTTTGAATAAGAAACAAAGCCTTTCATTAATATAATGAAAAGAAACAAAAAAAATATTTTAAGGATACAATCTTCAAAAGGAGAGAAAAGAGGAATTAAAAAAAACAGCAGCTCCCACATAATTAACAAGGAAAAATAAATGCATCCAAATTAAAACAAATATTATTGAACTGAGTAAAGATCAAATTATGAGGATAAGGAACTCCAATGTGATGATTTGATCTTGATAGGTCAAATCGCTCCCTCCAAGCTAGAGATTTGTCTTATTAAATCCTAAAATTATGCTCATGCCCAATTCAAAGTTGTGGTGGAACTTCTTCAAAGTCCGTTGAATTTCAAGCAGAGATAGAAAAATTAAAAGTTGGTTCAATCTGGTATAAGAAATCAAACCACCACTTTGGTTGTTGGCTGTAAGGTTTTATATGTCCAATTGTAATTTTTTAAATTTCTTTGCTTGTAAAAAAAGATATTCGGCATAGTTGATTTGTTGAAGTAATTTCTTCATCGGATGAAGGAGGGAAGAGACACATCATGATACCATAAGGAGAAAATACGGGGGGTTGGAGTGTTTTTTTTTGTTGATATACTTAATGGTCTAATTAGAATGTTAAATAGAGACATCAATAAGGAATTGGGTACAAGGAAGGGGGAATTTATTTTAAAAAAAGTAAAGATTTACATGAAGGAGAATTTGTCGCAAAATGAGTCAAGTATATGAAAAATACATCGAGTTGGGTATCTCGTTTGCCTCATATCTCTTTTCCTGTTTGTAATGTTTCATTCCCTACTCTGTTCTGCATCAGATAGGGGTTTCAATACTTTAACTTCATTGTAGCTTATTTTCATTTTAATTTGTTTCCAATAATATGAACCACAATGTTCCTATTTCCTTATCGTATCTCTATTTGTGTTCCTATCATATTCTTTCCTAATCTGTTCTGTGGTTTCAATACTTCTAAGTTCCGTTTCTAAGTTCTCTTATCATGTTGTAATTTTATCTTTTCATCCACTCATTCCTTTTATACGTGTTTTCGTCCCTTTCCATTTATATGCATGAGTATTTCAATTGTATTTTTTGATGCAGGTGTTCTATACTTGATCCAACGTTCGACTCATGGTAGATTGCTGACAATCTTGTTCAAGATTCTTTTACATTTGATATCATCTACTCCGTATGTAATTCTTCTAGATGTCTCATCGGAGTAATATTTTTTTCCTTATTTTGTATGGAACGATGAACTTTATTAGATATTATGCATTTTACCACTGAATTTAGGTTGACTTGGTATGTTGGCACAACCATGTATTTTTACTTCAAATGCATAAGATCATTCAAGTAAACGGAGAAACTAAAACAAACTTAAAACTAAAAAGTAAAAACTAAAACATTACTATTAATTAACACTAGAACAAATATTCCCTCTTAAAAAATAAATGACCTTAAGTTTTAAAAGATAAGGGAGTTAGGGCCTCGAGGGCAGCTCGGCTTGGGATCTCTTGGTCATATTGGCTTAGAGGCCTCAAGTTCGAATCTTTCAGTGAACTTAATACCAAAAATTGTTTAACTTTCTCAAGTCCCGACCTTGGGGCGGGTGCGAATGCCCCTGGGTATAAGGGACCAAAGCTTTGACTCGCCGTTATAAGAAAAAAAAGATAAGGGAGTTGGGAAGATACTTCTTAGTTAAGGAATACTATTTTTTCTTGTTTAAACAACATCTAAAAATCATAGTAGCCACCAAAAGCAAAAGATGACTTTCGTCCATGTCAATACAAGTCTTTGGTATGACATTTCAAGACAAAAACCTGCAGTTTTTTTTTTTGGTTGGCAAAGGGCTTTGGGGTCTCCGGCCATACCGACTTAGAGGTCTCAAGTTCGAACCTTTGGGTGAGTTTAATACCAAAAGTTATTGATGTTTCTCGAGTCTCTGGGCCTTCGGGTGGGTGTGGGTGCCCTCGGATATAGGGGAGCAAAGTTATATTTAAGCCAAAAAATCGTTCCACGTATTAACCTAAGTTTTACAAAGCTTCCAAACCGTTTAATTAAATTCATAGACACTTGAGGTCCATCAAAAATTAGAACTCATCATATATTTAAGAAAAATTTGGTTCCCCGCGCAAGAAGCCTTTTTGACTACCAAAGGCTGAAAAAAAAAGGGAATGAAAAGGTGAATGACTTGTTCCACCCTATAGAGAGTTAAACCTAGGGCTGTGCGTGTATTTGTGTGAATTTTCACTAGTTAGAGCATTTGATGTAATTATCTACCCATTAGTTGTACTTATCAGTCAGTTAGTTAGTCAAGTTAGTTTTTTTTAATGTTAGTTTTTTTTTTAAATGAGAAACTAAACTTCTCATTGAGACAAATGAAAACAAAAACATATGAACATGGACAAACAAGAAAACAACCCGCAAGGAAAATTCCAACTAAAGAAAGGGTCTCCAATCCAAAAGAATAAGGCCTAGTTGATAATTACAGAACAACTTTGAAACCGAGCCTAGCTGATAATTACAGAACAACTTTGAAACCGACCCCATAAAGAGACATTAAATCTTATGAGATCCCAAGTAGACTCCATGCCCCTCCCCATCCCCTGAAGATTCTATTATTTCGCTCAATCCAAATCCCCCACAAAATAGCTAAGAAGCAAGCTTGCCACAAAAAACTCCCCCTTTCCCGAAAAGGAGGAGATAAAAGCACTTCCTCCAACATAACCCCACAATCCTTGTTACAAACCCGAGCCACCTCGAAGACCTCAAAGAATCGCCTCCAAATGCCCCCACAATCCCTTTTCTTTAGGGGGCTTCTTCTTGCTGGACTGTTTTTTGTATGCCCTTTTTAGGCATTTTGGTGTATATTTTGTATCCTTTTCATTTTTCTCAACGAAAGTTTTGTTTCGTATAAAAAAAAAATGATTCAGGTCTTCCGAAGCGTTCTTGCAGAGAACACACCATTGTGACCCCAAACAGAACGAAGAGGTCCTTTGAACACGATCCAGGGTGCTCACTTTCCTAAGTAAAACATGCCACACGAAAAACTTAATCTTAGTCAAGTTAGTTAGTTAGTTGGTTGTTTTAAATTAGCCTAAAAGCTTGTTTGTCCGACTGCTAGTCAAGTTGAACTGCAGCTCTCTAAGGGCTTTGTACTTCATTTTGGGTTAAATCATCAATAAGATCATTTCTCTCCTTTGAGGTCACACCAGCATTGGGTTGTAATATGTTGAAAAATCTTGTTATTGCACCAGATATCCAAGGATGCCTGAAGAGTTGTTGCCGAACATAGTAAAAGCTTTACAAGCGACAATTGAAGAAGGCTTTCCATTCAAAAGTGATCAAACTTACCTGCTGGTTAGATTTTTTCTTTTTCTTCTTCTTCTTCTTTTTTTAGTTCGAGTTTCCTTTATGTAGTTGATTAGGAAGTATATTTCTTTTTATTTTTCTATAGGCTGCTACTATCAGTTGCTTAAATGCAACCTTGTCAACTTCTCAGTCCTCGCCTCATGTAAAAGAGATGCTTTCCAAACAAATATCCACAGGTTGGCTTATGTTTTGTGGTTATTTCCTGACATGTTCTTGATTGTTTTAGATATTAATTGTTCAACAGTCTTCAAATCGTAACGTGACTGTATTTGGTTTAGCATCATGGGGATTTTTGTGTGATGTTTACTTAATCAATTTAGTTGTTATGGCTTTAATTATTTTCTACTTTTTTCCTTAAACAGACTTGTTTATTTATTCTTTTATCTATTGTTTCTTTTGGATAATCTGCCCAAGCTTTAACTGGTAGTTTTTAGATTATATTAACAATTGGGGTTGTCTCCTTTTTATATCCTTTAAATAAGTCTCATATCTTAGTTTCTCACCATCTCAAAAAAATAGCTTTAACCTTTTTTCTTCAATAAGTGACAATAGTACAAAATCTAAATAAATATTATCTATAACTATTATAGATAAAAAAAAATACTTAACTTTTAAAATATGAAAATATTAAACAAACTATGCCTAAAAATTAAAACCAGCTTTAAATAATGTTATTTGTTAGTTTGGAAAGAAACAATGCCAAAAGTTACCTATATATATTTGAAGAGAAAAGTTGCCATCGGTCAGTCATGAAGGGGAGATATTGCATGCAATCTTTGATGCTTCTGACATTTCTCCATCATCTCCATCTTCTCTTCTTCTCTCTTCTTGATATTGCATGCAATCTTTGATGCTTCTGACATTTCTCCATCATCTCCATCTTCTCTTCTTCTCTCTTCTTCTCATTCTCCTCGTTCTTTTTCCTTTTTCTCCTTAATCTTCTGATTCTATTAATTATTCTTCTTCATATCATTAACTTTCACTTTTCTTTTTCCTCTACTTCTCCTCGGTCTCGGTGACAAGTGGGCGTTAGCATTAATGGCGAAACTGGTGGTGGTGGCGAAGGGAGCCATGGTGACTCAGTCCAGTGGGCAAAGTTTTATGGGTTTTTTTTTTCTTAATCGGCATGGTGGGAGGGTAGAAGTCGAGAGTGAGAAGCATTTAAGGCTTTTTTTTTTTCTTAGGTTCTAAATCAAAAGTTGTGTCCTAGCTATGTTCAACGTGTCCAAAATAATAATAATAATAATAATTGTAGTAGGGTCAGGCGGCTGTCTCGTGAGATAAGTCGAGGTGCGAGCAAGCTGGCTTGGACACTCACGGATATAAAAAAAATAATTGGACACTAAAATTGACGTGTCAGACACATGTCCGGGCGTATCCGTGTTCGACACATATCTGACTGATATAGACACTCTGCCAAAAATGGAGTGTCCGTGAATTATCCTGATGCTTATTGTTCTTTGTTCTTGTCTATGGTCTATCCTTTTGTTTTTGTTTTCGTCTTGTTTTTTTTTTCAAGAGCGGAATTTTAGTATCTGTATTGCTCCTAGTTGGACCTCTTTTTATTCTTCTTTAACTCTCTCTTCTTCGGGAGTTTGTATCCTTGAACCTTTTCTCCCTTTCATATATCAATGAAAAGATGTTTCTTGTTAAAAAAAAAAAGAGAATGGAATTTTAATATTGTAGACAACAAAAGAGAAAATAGCTTAGGGGTAGGGATAGAGAAAACCCCCTCTCGAAGCTAAGAAGGGGTTCCAGTTATTGATCATCATAAGACTATAATTACTAAAGAATTTCATTTGTCCGTGTCTATGTTGTATTCTTTTAGTAATTAATGGATCATTTCAAATAAAATGGCATGAACTTCTGTGATTTATTTTGATCAACTTCCTTTAGATCCACGTGATTTGTTTTCTGTCTTTCTGTAGCTCAAAAGGGTAACAGTGTACTTGTCACATTACTTCAGTATTCTGAGCAACTAACCAACCCAACCGTATGCATTGAGGCTCTTCAGGTAATATTACATAGAAAATCTTATTCTCAGTTTAATTCTTTCTGATCACTGATTTTATTCTTGCAGCTCTTCTCTTTCAAGGACATAATATTGTTCACATGACTTCATATATGTATTGTCATGGCTATGGATATTGTCATGTATCATGTTTCCATTTGCTTGAATGTTTGTTTCGCCTGATTGGGAATGCACTTAATTTATTATTGGAAGAAGCATTTCAACATTTAACTTATGAATGCTTAAACAATAATTCGTGCAACTATGATTGAATTGTGAAGTATTTAAATGCATAGGATGTAGCTCTCCAGTTTGAGATGCAGAGTATTAGTAAATGGCTCATTAAAGCTATTAGGTCGTTTAATGAGTGAGATTTTAAAGGATATCTTTTTTCTGGAAGAATTACATAGAATTTATGGTTGATACTATATCTGAGAACTATTTTGTTGCAGGCCTTAAAAGCTGTATCACACAATTACCCACACGTCATGTTTGCTTTCTGGGAACAAGTTTCCTCAGTTGTTTACAGCTTTCTAAATGAAGCTGCTCCTGAAGTTTCTACAGGGCAGTGGAGGTTGCATATGAGAAACAGTGTTGGAATTATTGGAGAAAAAGTTATGACGGCCGCTATCAAGGTAAAATGCTCTTTGCCTCTTTCATGTCTTTGACTTTTCATCTATATATTTTTTAAGTAGAAAAAACTAGGATGTTGTAACCTAAGAGGCCGAAGCATTATTTTTTCATTAACAGATGGAGAACTAACACTACTAAAACCTTGAGCTTATTTATTACTAGTTAAAGTTCTTCACCTGTAGAGACCATTGAGCATCCTAGCACGTCCAACCATATTCTTGAGTCCTGACCTAAAAAACACAATGAGCTTCAAAGAAAATGATACGATAGTTAGAGAGATTCTACTGCCGGATGAAAGATTGCATCCTAGTTTAGGAACATGAAGTTTGTATCTTGTTAAAAAAGAAAAAATTGTAAGTGTATCAGTTCCGTGTTGTATTTCACTCAATTTTAAAGTCAGTCTAAGATTGGTTTTCCAAGTCAAAATACATGTCATTTACGTTCTCCCATAATTCCTTTGCCGTAGAATCACACATATGGTTGGCATTGATCTCCTCATCCATAGAATTAACTAACCATGTCATTACCTTAGAATGTTTGGCATCCCACGTAGTAAATAAAGGACTTTTTACAATCAATGCTTAAGATAGCCAATTTTACCTTGTCCATGAATATACATCCGAACACTTTGAAACCAACAAAGAAAGTTATCTCCATTAAGCTGGATGTTAGTTATTTGGATAGGATGACTAGTGGGATTGAACCAGGTTTCAGAAATCTTAGAGTCACGTGACTGATCTATTTTCTTCGAAAATTCATTGGCCAGCGGAAGATTTTTTCTTTTAAACAATACTTTGGTGTTTATCAATTACTTAGTGGATTTTTGTATGGATCATTTCCATTTTAATATCTTGTAGGGATTATAATTGCCAAACTCATAAATTGAGGTACATCAAAAGTTTGATGTTTAAGAGTTTTCGTCTCTGTTGCATCTCATTTTACTATTTCTTTCCACGTTTTAATGCTGTCAGGTTTTGGATGAATGTCTTCGAGCAATATCTGGGTTTAAAGGTACTGAGGATCTTCTGGATGATAACCTACTTGATTCTCCATTTACTTCTGACTGCATAAGGATGAAAAAGGTCTCATCAGCTCCATCATATGAAATAAAGAATTTAGATGAGACTGTTGACAGTTCGGAGGAGGCATGTGCAGGAATGATGCAGTGGTGTGAGGTGATTGAGAAGCATTTACCAAGGAGTTTGTTGCATGCTTCTGCAATGGTAGACTAACTTTCTTTCCCTTATGTCTATTCAAATGCTTTGTGACTCCTAGAATTATGCTGGATAGCTACTGAAAGCGAGACAACCTATACATGAACATGGTTATACTAAAAACAGAAAAGGAGAAATGAATTGGAATGAATCATGAAGATTTGAGACGGTCCTGTTGGCAAGGGCTTGGGTTCTCTAGGTCATACCGACTAGAGGTCTCAAGTTTGAAGCTTCGGGTGAGCTTAATACTAAAAATCTTTGATGTCTCTCGGGTTTCGGCCTTGGGAGGCGTGGGTTCCCCCATGTATAAGGATGCAAAGCTCCGACTCCAATTTATAAAAAAAAAAAAAATTATGTAGATTTTATAAACCCCAAGCTTATTATGATGCTAATTGTTTCCGTTGTCTGAAAAGAAGTTTTTTCCATTCCTTGCTAGACTTCATAATCTTATTATTATGAAATGCTTAGTGTAGACTACTGCATTATTAATCCTTCCATGATTTTCTATTTGTTGTTTTTGCATGTCTTTCTAACTAGAGGGCATGAAACCCATTTTAGTAGGATTTTAATTTTAGACATATCGACTCATATAAGAAGAGACTAGAACAAATAGGTTAAAATAAAGTTAAAACTGGTAGTAGGCAACTATTTGTAAAAGTTGTATTTCCTGTATCTCCAATGGTATCCTTTTAAGAGCGAACGATGTAAAGGTTTTTGAAGGATCCAAGGGCCAAATCCATAAATTTTTTTATTATGAATACAGACTATCAGGGAGAACATTAGATTGTGTAGCCCATTCTTCAATTTCCACTTCATTAAATAGTCCGCGGAAACCAAGATTCCAGTTTTTTGCAGCTTTTTATGAATACTTAACTAAAACTATTTTCGAGAGGAGAGGAAAATAGCCTAGGAAACTTCATAGACAGTGGACCAGTATCCAACCGTTTGTCCAACCAGAAGAAAGCAGCAGCATTTAGCAACATTCCTCAATTTACACGAATCTCTTGATTTCATTAGGTCAATATACTTACCGATGGAAAACGTAGGAGCTTTGGAAGAGTGAATGTCATGTGTTAGTCTCTTTGACCCTTCTCCAAAGGAAGGGAATCCTTTTATGTTAGGAGCCTCATTTTTTTTTTGTACAACATAAGGGGTGGGGGTTCGAACTCATGACCTTTTGGTCAAAGATAGGTGCCTTAACCACTTGAGCTATGTTCGGTTGGTTTGACATGTTAGGAGCCTCATGAGCAGATTGAGTTCTCCAAACCACAATAATTTCTTTTGATCTTAATGGAGTCGAAAAGCCTTAGGCAGATTGTGTTCATCTGAAAACAATAAAGTTGCAGAGGGAAGTCACATGCCTTTATATAGGCTAGGCTCATGGGTAATTGCCATAATTACATGGATTAATCCAATTAACCTAGTGTAACTAAATCTAACCAAAAATAAAATATCCCTTCCATTTCCCTCCCTTCAATTCCCCTTTCACTCTATTTTCTCCCTCTTTTCCCCCCCCTCTCTCTCTTTGATTCACTTCCTTCCCATGGTGGACTGTGGATCTTACGACTTGGCCCCTCGTCTAGCATAGCGTAGGAACTAAAATCTTACTTCAAATTCCTCATTCTTCAATCCAAGTTGATCCATTGTCGTGGCCACAAAATGCTCGAGTAGATAAAGCTTGAGGTTGAGCAGATTCGATGGCCAGAGTCAGAGTTGAAGAGATGAGGATGAGCTCGTTTGGTTGCTGCCCAGTTCTCGAACTCGGTCAGCTTGTTGTTGAGTATGGTGGGGACCCTAGGGCTATCCATCGCACCCTTGATCCAACTGTGATCCCTTAATGAAACAGATACCTAACATTCATGAATCAAAAAGACACAAATGTGAGCTCACAATAATGTCATATGGGAGACACTTCATAGGCGAGGAATTAAGTTATGGTCAACCACAAGATTACAGTTAGAGTTGAGAACAAGACCTCTTAGCTTTGATAAGAAGAGATAGGGGAGGGTTGTTCAGATTGATGAGACCCACCTTTAGAGGTTTTTTCCCATCACAGTCGCTGAAGTTCTGCTTCTATGGATAGCCGATACCATTGTGTATCTACTCTTAACACCAAAGCCCAATAGTTCTACAGAAAATTTCACTACAATGACTGTATTTGGATCTTAAAGACGATGAACAAGAGAGGTAGCTTTATAGAAATCACCAAAGTCTTTAATTTTGGTGGAAAGCCCAATATTGTGGTCGACGAATACAAAGGCAGGAAAAGCTTTCGCTTTTTGGTCCTTGACTTTATTTACGAAAAACAAACACATCACTTACCTTTGCATTTATTAAAGATCAAGAAAGGTACTTCTTTGCTGAGGTGGTAAAGCCTCCAAGTACAAAACAACCACGAAAAATCATTTGGAAAAAAATGGTGGTAGTGACGAAAAGAGACTTACGACAATAATAACATACAATTCCCGTAAGTCTATTTTTCTTTTCTTTGCCAAAACTAGTCCTGAAATAAACCACATCAGATATCACAATTTATTTTTGCTCTACCATATTACCAAAGAAAAATATAGAAACTAATTTAATTTGAATGCACTAAATTAGAGTCTAATGGAGGTCCAAAGCTTATAATATCATATCTGAACGAATTACAAATGAGAAACCCTAATTCCTTTTTTAAAAAGGTTCCGAATTCCAGCAGATTCTGACCAAAATAACCACAATGGCAAAAGATGGATAAGCAGAAAAGTCGAACCATGATGGTTGGAGAAAATTTCAGCCACTCACGTGGTGGTATTTGGGACAAAGGTGGCAGATTTTGAATTCGTGATGCATGGAGCCCACTTGTGAGTGATATGGCGGTTGGACGTTGGGGTTTGTGGATAGGTTGATGATCTTCCTCAGGCTAGACAGTGATGAAAAAAGAGCAATCCAAGGTGGTATTCCAAATTCGAGCAGATTCTAGCCAGCAAGGTGGTCAAAGCATGATGGCTGGAGAAAATTTCAGCCTCTCCCATGGTGGAATTTGGGACAAAGGGTGGGAGATTTTGATGATGTGTGAGAGCCAATGTAGTGATGTGGCGGTTGGACTTCGGGGTTTCGTAGATAGGTTGGCAATCTCCCGAGTCCAGGCCTTAGGGCGGGCACGGGTGCCTCTGGGTATAGGAGAGCAAAGCTCCGACTCCCAATTCTTAAAAAAAATAATAACAAACTCCTATTTACATCAAGATACATGTTATAACAAATAGTACTATCGTGATTGGGTTGATAATCGTTGATATTCTCTAGCTGTATTATTGCTCGTAATTTTATGTGGGTTAGTGCAGTCAAAAAACCATTTTATTAGAAGAAATCAAAGAACATCTAAAAGCAAGAGTAAAGTAATTGAAAATTGTAATTGTTCTTTTGTGCTTTCGTTTTTGCTGCCTTTTACCTCTTTCTTATTTACTTCTTTTTTCTTTTCCTTTCTATCTCACCCCTTGGAGTTTGTGAACAAATTTTGTTCCTTTTCATATTTTCAATGAAAAGTTCATATCTTGTTAAAAAAAAAAAAGCAAGAGTAAAGAGAAGCTTAAGTGCCTTGATCTAGCTAAGTTTAAGGCTTCTTAGTGGTGTTGCTTTCTAATTTATTTGAGAATTATTTTCCTAGTCTTATTTGATCAGGTTGGGATGCTTTTATTACATCTCCTTAGATTCTCTGTTTCTTTATTTTTATTTTGTTTTTCACTCATAAGGGTGTTTGTATCCTTGAATAATTTTTTCTTCATTTTCATGTATCTTGTTCAAAAAAGTTCTCAAGCTTTAGCTACGTTATCCCTTTCTAGTTTTTAGCTAATTGGTTCTAATCAAGCTGTTAGACATGTTTGACTAGAGATATTAACAAAGAAATACCATTTTCCCGCCTGAATGTGTTATATATCAATAAAATTTTAGTTTTTTTTTTAATTTAATAATATATTTTTATCCTGCAAAGTGTGATGTGTTGAGTTTACCTTTATTAGGATGGATTTTTAACCTTGATTTTCTATGGAAGGTGAGAGCTGCATCCGTTACATGTTTTGCGGGTATTACTTCCTCTGTTTTCTCCTCTCTCTCTAAAGAAAAGGAGGAGTATATTTTGTCTTCAGTGGTAAGTTTTCATTTGGGTTAGACCTAAGTCTGCATCCAATTTTGGTGGATAAAATTGTTTCTCGAACAGCTATGTTTTGTATTTCAAAGGTGAATGCTGCATTGTATGACGAGGTGGCTTCGGTGAGGTCTGCTGCTTGTCGTGCCATTGGTGTCATATCATGTTTTCCTCAAGTTTCTCAAAGGTGCTTCTAAAGTAATGGTGTTATAAAAATCTTTATTATCTTCATTACCTTTTATCTGAAAAGGTGATTGAACCTTTTCTAAATGTCTAAATGATATAGTGCAGAGATTCTTGACAAGTTCATCCATGCTGTTGAGATCAATACTCGCGATTCTTTGGTTTCGGTAACTGTTTTTATGAATCTTCATTGATAATAATAGTGTACAATTCAATCTGTTTCTCTTTATCTTTATAGGTAAACTATTCCTACGACTTTTCAGGTAAGAGTAACAGCCTCTTGGGCATTGGCAAATATATGCGAGTCGATGCGTCGCTTTTTTGATGATTTTCCTTCAGGACAGCACACAGGTGGTTTATGAGAATGGACTAGTGGTGATTCACTATATTTTGTGAATCTTATGTTTGTTATATACTAATACGGAAGGTTTTCTAATCACTTTACTGTTTATTTGTAGATTCAATTGAACGTTTCAATTTATTGACACTATTAATCGAGTGCAGTTTGCGTCTAGCAAATGATGGAGATAAGGTAAATCTTCTGTTTTGCCAATTTATTATTGTGGGATTTTTTCTTTAACCTTTTATATAATATTATGTTAATATACGAGAAATTCAAAAACCATCATGGGTGGCTCATTGGTCCAAAGGGGCTAGGGTCAATTAAGAGGGGCTAAGTTTGGTGCCTGATGTACTTGGGACATTCTGACTATTTGTCCATAAGCCAGATTAGGTGTCTTGCTTTTCTTTTGAAATAAATACATTGGTTTTTTAGCAGCTTTGTAGATAGCAAATCCTGTAAGATTTAGTTTGGTAATAGGCACAGAGGAAATAGAGTTGGTTGGCTAAATAAGGCAAGAAAAACTATGCTTCATTTTCAATTGGGCTCCGTTCTGTAGTGTGGTTGTGCAAATAGGTTTCAAGAAGTCATCTGTATTCCCACCTCCCAAAAGTTCTTATATAAGATATGGACATGGTATTATGTTCTGTGGGCTGATAAACTCCGTCAAATCAGGATCATCAGGAAATTTAAGAACTGTAATAAAGAATATAATATTGTTTTAGAAGGCATGTGAAAGGATGGTTGGGGCAGCTCTGAAGATGATTAATGGATTTCTTTAAAAGTCCACTGTTTCTAACGCTATTTTGGTATGAATGTGGTGAGGTTGAAGTCTTTTGCATCCAAGTGGTTTTGTTAAATTATATTATCATCTTTTAATTTCCTGGTTTTGACAGGTTAGGATTTACTTGTCCTAATAGGTAAGCATTTACTTATCCTAATAGGTAATAGGCAAGGGTTTCATTTTCTTTTTCTTCTTTGTAGCTAATATTTATACCCCGTATCAACTATTTAAATCTTAAGAAAAGAAGAATTATTTTTCTTATCATTAACAGGTTTGATTAAGAACGAAGTGTACATCAATCATCTTCAAACCTTTAAAAGTCCACTTCTTTCTTAATCAAACCACTATGAAGCTTTAACAGTCCACGTCTTATTTTTTAGATATTTAACAGGCATCAACATATGATCTTTTTGTTTTTAGTATGAATTATGTTGTATCGGGAAGTTGTTTTTACTACTTGATGTCGGTACTTTTTTTTTATATAAAAAATGGGTCTCTACACCCATGCTTTACTTGATGTCGGTATTTTGCACCACCAGATTAAATCAAATGCTGTCAGAGCTCTTGGAAATCTTTCAAGGTTGATAAAGTTTCCATGTTCACCTTCTACCTGTGAGAAGCCAGTAAGCAATTCAGGGTTATATTTAATGGCTAATAAATCTGAGGATCTTTTGTCGAAGAGTGATTCAAAAGTCCATCCTGGATGCACATCGAAAAATCTCTATGATACTTTCTATAATTCAAGTTTGCTCGAGAGCATAGTTCAGGCATTTATTTCTGGGATCACAACGGGAAATGTTAAGGTACCATTGTCATGTTAAGTTTAGTTGCCTTATTCCCTCAAGCTTGCTTTAGTGTGCATATATCTTTATAACAATAAATCTTAATTCTTACTTGATCACTAAAATTTAAACTTATGTTGAACAGGTTCAGTGGAATGTTTGTCATGCAGTAAGCAACTTATTTTTAAATGAAACGTTGAGACTACACGACATGGACAGGTAGTATGAAATTTAATATGTTTGATAAAATCACCTTGTCAAGTAACCAGTAGATAGTCTTTACTTCCTGCTATATTTTAGACTATAACTTTTTTGTAGACTATTTTGCATGTGACTGCAGGATATGGACAGGTAAAAAAAGTAAAAACTACATTGTCAAAAAATATTTTTAGGCATAAACTCTTCGGCTTTGTTCAAATTCAATCCAATTAGAGCTTTGGTGCTAAGTATCAAATTCAAATTCAAAATCTTCAGCAAGGTTGATAAATTGTGTCCACAATTGGCCATGTTTGAAGCTTCAAAATATAGGTCATGTTTACATAAGGAAATGAGAATGGTGGGATGTTAGTGAAAAATTTTATTCACGTTGTCGTTTACCAAATCAAGGTAATGGAATTAGTGTGGCTGGATTCATCTCAAATTAGTAAGCATTCCCTTAATGATTGGATCATTCCATAAACAATGTCATTTCCTTTTCATATTCCACAAATCCACGACCTATTTTATAATCATTCTACGCTTACACCCTTTCTCGCTTCTATTATATCCATCATTAATGAACTATCGAAACTAAAACTCCACTGTCAAGTTGTGATGCTTGGGATTGAATCTGTCAAGTTGGAGACTTGATTCTCAGCGTGCTGATTTATGATTTGGAAACTCTTTTATGCCTTCTCTCGTCGGTTAGTCGAAGTGCATCAGAGGACACAAGATATTGGAGTTTGGAAAAGTCGGGTATTTTCTCAGTTAGCTCTCTCTGTAAGCCTAGTTTGTCGGCTCAATCTTTACCTCTTGACTTTTTCTCTTTACTATGGAGTATGGGAAGTCCAAAGAGAGTGAACATCTTGCTGTGGATCCTCCTTAAATGCTAGGTAAATTGAGCAGAGGTTCTACCAAAGAAATTGGCCTCCATGCCTTGCAACCCTCCGTTTGTTTGCTGTGTTTCAAATCTGAAAAATCACAGGGCCGTTTGTTATTTTTCTGCTGTTTGCTTCTGTTTGTTGGGCATTGTTCTTCCTAATGTTCAACGTTTCTTGGAGTTGGGATCTTAGGGTTTCTAATAACATCCGTCAACTTCTTTGTGGCTCCAAATTTCATACTAAGGCCCATTTTCTTTGGATTAATGGCTTCAAGGCAGTCATCTCATAATTGTGACTTGAGAGAAATCAACGGACGTTTGATGCTGCCCGAAGAAACCCCTTAGATTGCTTCAACATCATTTTTTAATCGTCCTTTTGCGGTGCATTATTGGAAGGAGCTTCTCCAGATCTTCAAGTTAAATTGGTGCTTTCCAAATTCAGCTCCGGACACACTCCTTCAGCTCATTCAAGGTCCATATCTGAAAGAGCACATGAAGCTTCTTTGGATTCTTGGGAAGTTTTGGGACAGATAGGAAGATGTTTTGGGAAGTTGTCAAAATTTTTGCTTCTTCATGGGCTGCTTGTACAAATGTCTTTCTGTAATTATAGTGTCTCTCAAATCTTTGCCAATTGGGAGTCTTTTTTGTAATCCCATGGCCTGAGGGGATATCTCTATATATATATCAATGAAAAGTTTGTATTTTGTTAAAAAAAAAAAAAATTTACGATCTGGCATGGATTTCAATTTTTTTTTGATGGGGTAAAATGTTGATAATAAGACAATCTCTAGCTGGCACATTAGTTCTTTGTGATGGGGGTATCAAAAATCCTGATAATAAGACAATCCCTAACTGGCTCATTGGTTCTTTTTGAGTCAGTATTTTTCACCTTCTCGAGAATAAGCATCCATGGTCTTGCTGATTTGGAACCAAATGTCGTTGGAGTTCTTCCACCTTCTATTGTAGAGTCTAACCTTTTTGGTGGTAACCTTGAAGGTTTGTTATGTGTTGTTCAATATCACAACATGAAGTTCCTTCTTGATATCTATCTGTGTTGATGAGGGTTTTAGGCCCTTATCGGTGGTTGCCAATGGCCTAGAGAATATCAATTTGATACCAACCTAACTAAAGCTCCAAAAATAAACAAAGAAATTATTAGTTTCAGTAACAAGGAATCTAAAGGTTTCTTGACAAAAGACTATCCTCCTCTGTTTATGGAGGATGTGAACGTTTGTAAAAAATAATTTTACAAACAAAACAATAAACTTCAACAAAAGGATATCTTATCCTACTAATATCTTATTCACCATGTCACAAGCCCCTTTTTTCCATTAACGTGGTTTGGGTCATTTAAGGTAATATCATTTGTGGGCTCATTAAAAACATGTTGAGCCGCCCATTCGACACCTTAAAATGTGTGAACATATTTTAACCATAGAGAGCATGTATCATGGGCTGTTTCCTTAGAGAAATTATAGACTTCACTATCGAAATATAGTGTTGTATGATAACTTATAACATGTGATGTGAATATGACATTGTATGAAAGATTTATGATACACATTTTCAATCATTTCCGCGTACTAATTTCTCAGGCAACAGTGTATCTTGTCAGTGCTTTGTCATTTTGGTGTACATTTTTCTTAGGTCATCCAATGCTATGCCTTTTTTCTTTTTTTTCCTCATGAAATGCCAGAGTTTTGTTCTTACTGGCTGAAGGACATTGATATTTATTATCGAAATTTTGATATTTGCTATTTTGCTAGGGTCTCATCACTTTTCAATATTCTTTTGCTGCTACTTCGTGATTCCTCTAATTTCAAGGTGAGGATACAAGCTGCTGCTGCTTTATCTGTGCCAGCTTCAGTGTATGGTGAGTAGGTATTCACTATCTGCTGGCATGAGAGCGTAATATTTGAAATGCACAACCTTATTGAATTCCAGTTTCAATTTTGCATTATTGATTTCTTGGAGGGTGAGACGGGTACTAGGAATGAGAATTGCATGCTTGTATACCAGTCATACTAATGTAAATTTTTCCAAGGTACTAAAGAAATTGAAACTTTCATGCAGAGGGGAACTTAAATCAAGTTTGTTTTCTGGTGCAGGCTATGGGAAGTCTTTTCCTGATGTAGTCCAAGGTCTGGAGCACACAATTGAGAACCTAGAATCGAGTCATATTCTTGCACCGAGTTTCAAATATAAGGTTGCACTTGAGAAGCAGGTCAATCTCTTCAATCAATTTCAATACGAGCAATACTAGTTTATGGGAAAAAATTCAGAACTTGGAAACAAACTTTCATTTCTACCATTGGCCAAGTAATATGGATATATTGGGGGTTTAGCTGTCCACTCATAAACCAACAGACAAGAGTTGGTGATTACCAAAAACCTCTTCTCTAACGAAAAGCAAGCTTACAAAATCCTTTGTGAATGTCATTCACAAGGAAGCTATAAAATTTAATTCACTCCCAAAGCGCATTGTATCTCTTTTTTTATTCATTGAATTTCTATTTCATCCTCCAAAATTTTCTCAATGTTTCTTAATCCTAATATTGTCCATGAAAGTTGGTCTTCTGCCCAATTAGATCATAAAATTGCTACAAGGGGGAAGGGCCGATAAATGAGAAGTTGGCCAAAGGTGGTGAATGCCTAGCTCCAAATTTAAGGCCATGTCTATGGAACATGGTTAATTCTCCAGCCACAGAATTTGTATACGATGTATGATAAAACAGTCTAACTTATACTCTGAAGTACAGTACCATAATATAGTAAAAAAGAAGCGTCAGTATGTCTTTGGTTGCTGCTTATTTTATCTTTCTTTCTGTACTTTGAATAGCCCAATTTTATTCTTGTACTTTGAGTAAGTTACCCTCTTTTTCTTTAAAGTGAGAACTTAATTTGACACCAGCTTCTAAAGTATAGTGACTGAAAAGTTTAGCTTTCTTTTTTTTTTTTCTTATATCCATGAGTGTTCTAGCACGCACCTTGGCTAAAAAGTCTGAAGTTGTATAATGTACTCTGAAATGTCATAATATAGTAGAACGAAACAGTTAGTATGTCAATTTCGTTGCTGCTTATTCTATTTTTGTTTCTATACTTTGAATAGCACAAGTCATGCTCTTGTACTTATAATAAGTTACGGTATTTGCCTTTATCATGAGAACTTAATTTGACACCAGTAAGTATAGTCGTATAAGGACTGAAATTGTTTTTCTATAAACGTAGAGACCAAAGCAGAACAAATGAGAGTATCTATTGCTCAAAGTAAAGAGATTGAAGCACAGGAACTAAAACTTAATTTCTTGAAGTAATACTTCCGTATTTGTTTATGTCCTCGAAATGGATGTCTCAGTTAATCACTTCCCCTCCCTCCCTTTTGATAATTGTTATTTAATTGTTTAATCTTTTGGTTGTATACAGTTGACGTCAACCATGTTACATGTTTTAAGTCTCGCTCCAAGCACTGACCATCATCCCCTCAAGGATTTTCTGGTCAAAGTAAGTGCTCAATTTCTTTACTGATTATAGTACATCAGTGTAAATTTCTTTACTTGGTTAGAGCATATCAGCTTCCTTTCATACACTTTTTAGATTCTTCGACTTCGACATGGGCATTAATTTTTGTTCAGGAATTATGTGCGATGTGCACATATAGCTAGACTTGGTGACTCATACACAGATATTTTTGCATTGCATTTTATACGAGCTTTGTCATGTATGGGACTGGGACTTTTATTCATCTTCAGTTGGTTTTCTAATGTGTGTATTAAAACAGTGTGTTTAATGCCTCTTACAGGGATAAGGGGTTGGCATTTGAAGTTTTCCAAATATTTTGAAAATCACAGATATTATTAAAAAAAAAAAAATCAGCAACCAGGAATCCATTTGAAGGAAATGAGATGTGTAAGGGTAAAAGTTAATTTGATTGAAATAAGTTACTTCCGGTGAAATTTATATATTCGAATTAATTTGTATTAGACAGGTATAGTGTATGTATTGGATTTAGTTTGATTTTACATCGTTATAATTGAATCAATGTCAACAACTTATCAAATATTCTTGAACTCTCTTACAAGGTTGTCATGTAAAACAAATACAACTATTCTTAATATAATGACATCTTTAGCGAATTTTTTGCTTTATATTTAAATGTGTTCCATAGGTAATGGTATAAAGACTAATTATTTTTGTATTCTAGTTCCAAGAGTGTGAAACATTGTCTTTATTACATATAAATATTTTCATTGCATAAGCCAGACCACAACTGGCGCTTTCTTGAGCTGCTTTCCAAGCCCTGTTCTTTGTCTAGTTATCTTAATTTGTTTTCCTGACCCTTTCTAGAAAGCAACATTTCTTGAGGAATGGTTCAAGGCACTTTGTTCATCGATCGGAGAGAGAAGTAATTGGTGTGACTGTGAAGAAAATTCCACCAACAACCAGAAGAGGGAAATGATATCCAAAGCTTTACGGTCACTGATTGACGTGTATACAAGCACGAATCACAGTGCAATTTCTCAGAGATTTGAGGACTTGACTAAATGGATTCACTAGGTAACCTCACCGTCCTTGTTATGTTTATCCATCAGTTTTAAAGAGTTGAGCGGTTGCTATAGTAGCCAGTTTTATTATAATATGACTATGTTCTATATACATGCAATATCCCTTTAATGAAACGATAGGGAAATGGATGGGAAGAGGAATGTTTGATTGCCATAGGCCATGAAATGCCGTTAAAGAAGGTGTTTCACAAGTGAGAGTTTGAAGATCTCGTTCTTGTTAATTGGAAATGGAATATGGATTTTTCTGGTCAGAGGTACTTTGCAGCGATATATTATTTATTTGGTTAAAATTTTGAAGACTATGCTGGCTATGCAGATTAGGAAACTTTCCTTGTCGTGAGGCTGGAAGAGAATATTTATTTTTAAGTTATACTTATTTCGGATGTAATGTACAGTAGTTTGTGTTGGAGTAAGTTGTAAAGGTTGTAGTGTAATTTTTTATTAGTCTATTGTTATGTATAATACTGTTGGAGTTTTATCTTCATTTCTTTTTGTAATAAACTAAGACTGATGAATTTGGTCGAGTGTAATAACTAAAATTGCCTCAGAAATATGTTTTAATAAGCTTTTTTTGTCTTGAGCTATAGTTGGTGGATTGTTATTTTTGGAGTATAATTGGAAATGGAAATTTTAGAGTTCTATTTGACATAAAATTATAAATCTATTAATTTTCTAAAATGTCAAATAGGTTACGGTATTTTTTGATTTATTAGACCCTTTTTAAGTTCATAGATTTATTAGGCATGAAATTAAAAGTTTAGAGGTTTATTACACAATTTTTAAAGTTATGACTTATCAAATAAATCTATTGATCTTAATCTGTATTATTTCTAAGCTTAAATTATGTTGGCCAAGTGCCATATCTTCTTGTTACTAAAACCTTGACACTGTCCTCTCAACATGAATAGAGGCTCAACTCGCGCATGATTGGTACATGTTTGATGTTCTTTGATGATTCGTCTACAACCATTACAAGAAGGATTTTTCTTGTTTCTTTTCTTTTTTAGAGGGTCGAGAATCAAACCATTGACATGTAAGATGGTAATAACTACTTTATTCGTCGAGTTATGCTCGAGTTGGTTTATTGAGTCGGTACCTTGCATCTAGTACTCTATAAATATATACCTTCATAGAGAATTTTTATAAGCTTAAAGTTAATATTAACTTGTTACTTTCAATTTGCTCTCACCAGTAACTTGGTTGATAAAGGTTTCTTCACTCGTACCATTGACATGTATTTGTTCTTAGTTGACCTTTTCCTATTACTCTTTCTGTGTTGCATGCAACGTGTCAATCTTTCCATTGATATTTTTATGTGTTCAGGGGTCTAATATCAACATGAGAGGTAAATCGATATTTTCATAGAATTGTAAAAAAAATATCTAACAAAATATGAAAAAAATTTACAAAATATCACCAATATATATATAATATTAATATTAATATTAGTATCAATTATTTTTAATCTATTTAGAAATGGTGAAATGCTTAATTGATAATTTAAATATTTTTTATGAATTTTTTATTTTTATAAATACATGTGCTACTGAGAATTTGTCTATATTCTCGCCTAGTAGGCACAGAGTTGCCTCGTATAAAGGATGATTGATACGGATCGATACTTGTTTTAATCCTGAAAATTCTAAGATCCTTTTTCAAACCTTCCTCTCATTTCAAGACAAGAGATAGAAAAATAGATACAATTCATTGCACTGATGGGGTGTTCGTAGTGACTGAGGGGATCAACGACCAATAAGTGAGTTATTTATCAACAAAACATTCTTCTTATAACTAGATCCAATGTCCTAGTCCCTGCAAAAGAAAGGATAAAGAATTTCACATTCTTTCTATCACTGAAAGACTAGCTATTATAGCCAACAAGCTTGTTTTTTCTGCCCAATCTACTAGAAAGCAACTAATAGTTAAGGAGGTTGCTGTAACTCTTCACAAATTACATGTACAAATTTGATTTTGGAACCTCTTAATGATAAACAAATGCCAAGGTGCAAAAGGTAGATGAGAGATTGGGAGATAGATGTCCAAGTTCGTCTTCATCACCAATATCAAATCATCTCCTACTCTTTTTTGGTCTCAACCATTTTGACGTTTCTTCAATGCAATATTCAACGCTTTCATGGATCAACTGACCCTACTAACCAATCTTTTCCACTTTGGACAATTTAATTATGTACCACATTAAGATAAGAATTTGCCTCTAAGTCTAAAGGACTCTCATTTAGTTCAATTACTTAAAAAGAAAAACTTTATTTAAGACTCTTTAGACTCATCAAAAATCTTCGCTAGCAATTCCTCATTCGAGAATTACTCATTTCAATAGTACAATGAAGTTGTTATCTTTCAATATGATCAACTTTCCAACATGAACTATTTTTTAACTCCATAAGTCGTAACATCCAAACCAACATGAAGAGACATTAAACAAAAATCTCAATAAAGTAATTCGATAGTCATCTTTTTTTTGTTTTTTTTGTCTTTTATGTATTAAAAAAAAATCCTTTAACTGAATTGGTTTTAATCAATCTTTCATCTATTTATATGTCCAAGCACATTTAGTCAATATTTGTATAACAATAATGACTCACATTCACTGTTCATGTGTTAGATTTTCAAACCCACACTCAACATGGGTTATTCATGGGTCATTGTCATGCATCCAACTTCAACTTATTGGGTTTGGTTTACCTTTGATATCTTATTAATAGACAATATTTAAATTTCGAAATTTTATTTGAACTTAATTAATCCAAAAAGTCATTTTATGAGGAAGCAAGGAATCTTATGGATGTTTATAGATTTTGAAATTCAAACATCCAAAATTAATTAATTAAACTTTTAAATTGATTCGTTCTAATTCGTTAATTCAAATTAGTTACTCTACTAAAATCTTGAAATTGCACTCACTAAAATTTGAAAATATAATAGTTACGTGCAAGTTAACATCTTCCTAAAGTTGTTCAGAGTTACAATTGGTCTAAAGTTCATATAATTACTCCTATAATTATATGTTAGTTTTTAAACATGGTTGATGCTCTAAAGAAGCTATTTATGAGATCTAATAATAAGCGCACTAAATCTCTCTTAGATAAATGAGACGCTAAATCCCTCTTAGATAAATGAGAGGATGGACCCTATTATTAAAGTTAATCAGGGATCTAGTGATCTACTTTTCTGATTTGGGAATGAGTGAATATAATGAACTTAAAAAAAGTTAATTTTATTTTACTAACCTAAACATTACTTAGTGAGTTCGAAGGTGAGTTCCTAAGTCCACCTTTGTTGTATCTAAAAAATAATAATAGAATTATTAAATGAACTATTCTAGAACTCATGTAAATTATTTTTTAAAAAAATCAAAAGCTGAAGTTCATACCTCACTCAAATGGTCGAGTTGCATCACATATGAAATGAGGCATCCAACTTTAATTATTGGCATACCATGTGGAATAATTGTTGGCACCACTTTTTAAATATTATATAGCATCTCTTTTTAAAGAATTTCGAACTCATGATTTTTTTAATTTAGAATATATATTTTAACTAGTTAAATTATGTTCTTAAAATTTAGATATGATTCATACTTACCTCAAATAACTTAAGATTTTTCATTATATAAAATATTGTACTTGATATAAATAAATAAATTATATTATTATTTTCTTGTTCAAGAAAATATTTACAGGTGAGGATGTTGTCGAGTAAATCTAAGGCGACACGTGTTCATATGCTAATCAGCCACGTGGGCGATGCTCTCGAGTAGAGTGAGGAAAGGGGAATTGAGCGCACCCGACCGAGTGCACCTAGGCAACTTGTGCGGGAGATAACCAATGAAAAAGGTGCTGATACACTACGTCTGGATACTAAATACGCTCTAGAGAATCGCCTAGCCATACCTCTTGCTATGCACAGAGGGAATGAGAGTATTGGTGGTCCTCACATCCCTCGACATGGCGCTCCTCTCTTTGTGCCTCTTTCACTCTCTCGCTCCCCACATATAAACGACAAGAAAACCCTAATAGATGTATGTAATGTATCCATTACGCAACCGCTGCTAAGAGAATTACTATGCGAACCACTCACACCCAAGCAGATTCTCACCAAGATTCCTACAATTACTCTTCATACTTCATACTTCATACTAGTTGCTCCCACCTCGAGTATTTAACTTTGGCATTAGAGTGCACATAGCACCACACCGATACTAGATTTCTATGGGCATGCAAGTCCAACTTGAATTAGGAAACTATGTGGCATCCATCCAAAAATCGACACCAACAAAGGAGACAACGTAAACTCATTTACTAGACAAATTGAAAAATATTTAGGTCGAAGTTTACTTCACAAACCAACCAAAAAATTTTTTAAAAATGAAATTTAGTTTCTACCTATCATGATTCATTATTTTTTTAATCTTAGTATAATACATAAATCGAGGTTTTAAATGTCGACGTAGATGACAATGTTGATGTCTCAATTTTATGAAAATATCGATAGAAATATAAAAGAAAAATTAATATCAATAGATATTTCTAAAAGAAATAATTAAAAAAATCATAACTCTTTTCATTACAAATATAAACATTATACTATTTTTAAATAAGTTTAAAATTATTGTTATTAATACTGTATTTATTTACGATATTTTATTGATATTATCTAATACTTCATCTATTGTTTTACGATGCAATAGAAATGTCAATAAAAAAATATTAACGTATTTTTTTTTAGTACATTGAGTAGAAAGATTCGAATTCACGACCTTCTAGTCAAACATAAATACTTACTTTAACTAAATAAACTCTATTCAAGTTTAGCGAAAATATCAATGTGTGAACGGAAATTTAATACTCTTTTAACGCATACAAAGGTATTATAAATACATAATAAGAAGTTATCTTGAAACGACAGTGACGCTGCCATTAAACGACAAAGGACGTACCCTCCGTTTTGGCTTTTTGACCCACCAACTAATTGAGTTCAAATAATTGCAACAATAAATCTTTTTATTTCTTTCATGATTGTTGTAGAAAATGATAATACATTGAACAATCTGATTTTTCATATATATATTAAAGAACATCAAAGGAATTCTAATTCCAAATCTAAAAAGTTTACGTTAAACAACATATTCCGATTGATTTCATTTCTTGTAAATAAAGGTGACCACCTTAATTCTTTTTATTCTCAATTTTATTCCTAATGTATCAAAATTTCAATTATATCATCCGATAAAAAATATTTGTTAGTTAATATATTTGTAATTAACTTAGAAATAAGAACAAAGTAATCTAATAATTGTTATATATATGATTCATATTTCGATTCTTTATAATTTTTAGTAAACAATATCAATAGCTTTTTTAATTCCTATTTTAGATAATGTCTATTAGACATTATATCAAATAAATAAACATTTTAATTCTGATTGATTTCATCGTGATTGATTTTCATTTTAATCCCTAGTAAGTAAATACAAAGTAAATGATAATTTATAATTATTTTTAAAATTTCAGGAATTAAAGTGTTACTTTTAAGACTTTTACTGTCCAAGAGTGTAATTTGAGATGAATTTAATTCATAATTGAAATCCGAAAACAATATATTGGATCAAGGTACTCTCTTTTTGGCCTAGACGGCAATTATTCGACTCCAAAAAGCCACTCTTGTCTTGGCCTCTTATGCAAACTAATTACTTCACATCCGATCCCATTTTTTCTTCCAACTTCTGTTTTTTTATTTTATTTTATTTATTTGCCATTTAAAATTCTCAAATATCATTTCTTTTTATATATCCAGTTATTTTGGTTTCAATATTTTTATTTTAAATATTTACAGTCTTTGACCAACTTAAATATGATTAAGACACTTATCTTCGACTAAGAGGTTCTTTGAAGTCAATGTTTATTCTTTTACCCTACATTGTTGTACTACGAAAAAGAGGAGTAAAATTAAAACTTATAATATTATAATACCAAAAATGTTGATATATACAACTCAAAACATAAAAATATAAGTTTCTCCAGGTGATTAACAATTTGCTAGCATAAAAAATATGAATTATCAAAATTAAATAACAAGAAATATGCTTCATTTTCTAGGCTAAATTTTGAAAAATAGAAAGAAAAAGCACCCTTAAACTTTGCTCTCTGTTTAAAAATACCTCGTAAACGATTCAAAAATATCTGAGCAAACATTCGTTAATATTTTGAACGGACAATTATGTGGAAGAATCTAGAAAGCAATGTGGCAATTCATGTGAAAGCTTGTCTGGATTAAGTCTGAAAAGAGCACGAAACTTTAATCGTCAAAATTACATAACAACCCTTTCAAACACACACACAACAACAAAAATAGTAATTATCAGTTCAATCTAGCCATAACTTTGAATACTTGATGTTCAATAAAATGTTGAAAAGACACGTCAAATTATTTCAATCATTATCTTTATTCATAAATGCAAATTCTTTTTCAAAACCAATAGGAAAGAATGACAACCTAACCAAATATTCTCTTTTTCTAATTCTACATCCAGCTTCCACATAGCTATTGAGAAAAGGTGAGCTACAAAAAAATTCCTTATCTTCTCAAATTTCACATGCTTGATCTCTCTAACACATTTGAAAAAAAAAAAAAAACTGTAAAAGGTCGTTACTGCCGACAAGAAAATACTCATTGGCAAAAGCGGAAACATTTCACCGTCGAAAGAACAAAAGCTGATAATTTTGAAAAAGCAATTTGGGTGTAATCTCAATAATGAAAGGGCAATCTCAATAACAAGTCTAAGTCCCAATTTTTATTTTTCAACCCTTCAAAAATTTTCATAGAACAAATCTCAGGGGCACACTCAGATCTCACATCTAAACAATTTGTGACACTTTAGTAAATGATTTATAGAATTCAATGACTCAAATCCCCATGATCCCATATTTTGAGAAAGAAGTATCAATTTAAAAATAGGGATGAAAAAGTCTAAAATATTTCTCCAACGTTACACTTGTAATAAATTTCCAATAAATGGGAAGCAAGGTGAATATTTTATAAACTGTGAGTGTAAATGCATCGACGTGGGACCCTGATTCCCTCCATAAACCACAATAAAAAATTTTATATAAAACGAAGGACAAACTGATCATGTAGATCAGAAGTAGGGACACATGCCCCTCATAAATATGAGCTTCACGTGATTTATTTTCTTTACTTTTTTTTTT